TATTCCTGACCAAAGAGTTTCTTTGAAAGTTTCAATGATTAAAGAGAATCTATACTTTTTAGTATAACCCTCCATTTGGTTGTGTTATTAAATTCTTCTTTTCCTCAAATAGTAAAGTAAATAGTAAACTGTTAGAGTAAGTCTGCTTCTAGTCTACAGTATATTAATGCAATGGGTTAGAAAACACCTAACATACTACTTAATTTTGCTGATGTTTTCATAAACAAAACTGGTACTGCTACACTTAATCCTAGAGCATAACCAGAAAAGATTATTTAAATCTAAACAAGAAAAAAAAAACAATTCCTTTAAGAGTACTGCTGTCTTGATGTCAGAAATATAGAGTAGGAGAGGTTCTTGTTTTTATATGAGAACAACATGCCAATACTACTTCATTATTACTTATTAATGGAAGCACATTTTTATTTGCAATGGTGACTATTGGATTTTGGACACAATTCTGCTGTTTAGAGGAAATATTATCTTATTGCATTTTAATTTGGAATTGACATTTATTAATAGGTGGATTTATGGCTATTACTCCTGTATTGGACTGGGTGAAAAAGGAGCTGCACACATTCCTCCAGCATGCCCACCTACTATATCAGATCTGTTTTTATCTTTTGACGTGCAACTCCACAGTGCCTTACAGGTGAGGAAGGGCTGACTGGAGGAGCAGCACATCTCTGGGCTGAAGCCCCCACAAGTTAGTAGATGACTTTGTGTGGCTACTTGGGGAATGACTTAGGCGTGAACCAGTGTTGTCTGGACTACAAGGCACAAAAAAGAATGAAGTAATTAAAAACTTAAATGTAAATGCCAGGATTGTTAGGAAATGCTAGATGTCCTCAAAGGGAATGATAAAGTCAACCTTGAAGATGGACGTCTTCAGAATCAGCAGGGAAGCATGAAGCACAAGTGGAAAGTGCAGGGAAGTGCATTTTTAAACCCAAAACATGAGGTATATCTTTACACACCATGTTGTGGGAGTTGGGAACAAGCTACTCAGTCATGTTACAAGAAATGGCTCGATGAGACTCAGATCTTTAAATCAATTATCGGTTTGCACATAAAAGAGCTTGATGTGACAATTGGTCTCTTCTCACTGCTAACTTTACTTGTTTTTACACTACACTGGCCACTCAACAGCACCTAAGTACTTTTAAATACTTATGAAAAAGTACTTAGAAACTGCTGAAAAACAATTTAGAACAATCAAGAAAAAAAACCCATCAGACCAAACAGTGCAATGACGATTAGATGATCTAATTAAAATAACTGCAATTTCCAAGTTATTACATTTCAGCAGATCTTTTTAAAGTACTTTTTTCTGTTTATTAAAGTAAATATTCTGTATGTTTCCTTGTATTTTATGTATTATATAATGATTTTAAGAGACTTAGACATAACTGGAAAACGACAAATATAACTGAATCGTTACAGATACTTTGAAATCAGCTATTTAAAAACTACTCTCAGGGCAATGTCTAAAATTCTTACATAAGACTCTTCCTTTAATAAACCCGATATTGTGAATGTATACTGACAGAGGCTGAACTAACCTCCAACACTACTGGAACAGAACTACCCATCAAAAGGTAAGGTTTGTAGTCAATACTCTTCTTTGTGTAGTGTCTGCTACACAGTGTAATAATACTGCCTTAAGCGTTGTCAGTAATTATCACTGTTTATCGGATTTTGTCATTCAATATATAAAGGTTGTTTCCTTTTCTTAAACTTGTATATCATTGTGAGTAATAACAATTAATGCAGCCCATGTATAGGAAAACAAAAGCTCTTCTTGGGTTCTTTCTGCATGTGACAAATTTGCTATGAAAACAAAATCTTTGAAAAAAATAAAGCGCACCTAAAACATGGAATTTAGTAATTCTGTCAGTTGGGTTCCAGATTATGGTCCTGTTTCTTAAAAAAATAGTATAAACTTTTGATATCAGCTTACCCAGACACGAATAAGGCTTATGAGGAATGTAATCCAGTTTAACAGGTAAGACAAAATTCCTAAACCAGCACAAGATGAAGTAGAATTTAATGACTCCTATCTTTTAATATTGTTTGGTCTAACCACTACATTGAACATGGCTTTTTCATTCACTAACTACACCTTTTTAAATTACTTTATGAAGCACTTAACATCCAAAAGCATTCCAGTCTCAGTTACAAGGTACTACTGTTCACAGTTAAGCTCTACACCAATCGATAAATAAATGTTTTATACAACTTGTATATCTGAACATCTGTTCTGTTGATACACAAGGCCAAAGACACAGCACAGTACAAAGTACAATAACGGCTGCAGAACTGCATGAGGTTTCAAGTAAAAACAAATTCAAGGTAGAGACATTCATGCCTTGAACAAAAAAATGTCAAACATGTAAAATGGTCTTAACTCGACTCCTGTACAGCAAACTTGCCCTAGTTGTAAAGCAATACAGTGCTGTTGATGTTATACTTAATTTAAACCTGTAACTGCTTGCAAGCTAATAATGTATTTTATTCCTTTATATCTTTAGAAGGAGCATGGGTGAATGCTAGGGTTTCAGTTTGTAGAATGAAAACAGACCTTAAGAGAAGCTTTTAAAATATAAAAACAAAGTTAATTTAATTTAAACAGCATATCAATCAATTTTTGTGCAGATGAAGGTACTGTATGAAATGACTATCTCAAACACACTACACACAGTTCAGCAGAAGCGTCCAAATTAAATCATTCGACCAAAACTCCTGCTCACTGTCCAAATCATGCATGAATTTCCGTGATGACTCTATTCAACCAAATATTAAAACATTCCTCTGCCATTTATTATGCAATTATGCTAAATTGGTTTTGTAAAGCAACAACAGATGTTGCTTAATTAACCTTTATGAGAAGAAATCGTTTTTTTCACCTTCAGCTGTTTTTATCTTTTTATATATTTGCATTAAAAAAATATCCACTTGATCATCCCAGTAAGTAACATTCCGCACATATGAAAATTGTCATCTTACTCATTTTATCTTAAGGACGTCTTTCAGGAAATACTTGAAGAGCTTCGCTGAGAAAATTCAGTTATGATTTGTTGAGAATTGGTGTGTGGTATATAAATCATCAAAGTACAGATGTGTTTTTATATTAGGGAATACATCTTCACATTAGGACTCGGTTACTCCTGTTTAATATACTCTGTAATATGACATAATATGGAAGTAGGGTGATTAAAATTGATATGATTTGATAAAATGGTCATGTAATGTGCCCTAAAGTGCACCATAAGATACTGTATATAAGGATTATTATCTAATTAATTCTAAGACCAATCTCTTTTTCCTGTCCTACTGTGCTTCTGGACTGGTTTGATGGGACAGTAGTCATGTGGTGCTCTACAAGTCCCACTCGAAAGGTGGAAATACTGGAGTTGTACTAAAAGCATGAACATGAAACTCTGATCGCAAACAAAAAGGTACAGATACACATACAGTACAGTCATCTGTCCTGTTCACAAAACTGTACCATGAAATCTAGAGGAATGGACTATGATACACACACCTGCAGCCATGGGTATGTTTCCATTTACAAAAAAAGCTGTAGCACTTTTATCACCAACATGTGTATAATATTATGATTGAGGGTTGAATGGTTCCTGAATGTTCTTTGAGTAAGAGCCATGCAGTAAGGTCACAGCAAAATCTCTTCTCTGGGATAAGTCACCACTGAGAAATAACCACTACTTGGGATTGAGAGCATTACAACAATTATTTTGATTTAACTTTCAACAACTCTGTGAAAATTGTTATAAAATGGACTGAAATCATTAAAAAACAGTCAAACACAGCAGATGTCTGAGAAATCCATTCTGTTGTCACAATTCTGTCTTCTATAGCACATGCTGCAGACATCTAAGCGTTAAAAAGAATATTTACTAAATCTGGCTGAACGCTAAAATTATAATTAGAGTTCAGATTTTACTGCAAAGCGTGCCCCTTAAAATGAATGACCTTGAAATGTATGACTTTGATCTGTAGTGGATAAATAAGAAATAAGTGCACCAGTAATTACACACAGTTTTTAAAGCCGGAAAAATACTAACTTTGCACGTAGATTATAACAGTTCACATGGTAGGCATTGCACCAAATATACAGATCTGGTTAGTGAACTCTGTGCATCTACTCCATCCTCTCAAGGATAATGTGGAAATACTAGAAAATGAATGAACTTTTGGAATTAATCTTATGATTAAAACAGGCCGTTGCATAAACATTAGAACCAATGTTAGATTTTAAAAATATGCAGCCTCCCCGAAGGCTTTGGTAGCATAATGACAAGAATAAAAAAAAAAGTTCAAATCAGATGCTGCTTTTTGTAATGTTGTTTTCAGTTGTTGTGAGGAAAATAAGGCTTTTGATTTTACAAATATACTCTTCATCTTTTCATGCAGTGGTCAGATGTCCTGCAATGTCGGCAGGCTGATTGTGAAGAGTGTGCTTTTTCTATTTCTTACTTGCAAAGGACCTTTGCTCATGGAGCAGCTTTGTTAAGAGAGCAAAAAAGCAGCAAGCACTTGTAGTTCTAAAAGAATGGTTTTATAAAATATTCAACAATTAATATGCAAAACAAGAGAAAACCAATACATTCAGATGGGTAATTTAACAGGAGAGATAGAAATATGTCACGCAGTCTGAAGGGTAAAGAGATGAGTGGCTGCTATTTTCTTGTCACACCTGTATTTAAAAGGCTGCTGTCTGTGTCTTTGCTTTAAAGGGCCATAAGGCAAGCTGAGTGCCCCTCTGGTTTAAACTAATGGATTCTCAAGTGACTCTTGCTGCAGCGCTTGTAGTACAATTAAGCTCCACAGCTAACAAACAGCATAACACATGTACCCAGGACTTGTCAGCTGCAGGTAAAACCCTTTGCCTGCTTTGCAGAGCATACAGTATGTAAATGAGGTCTCTTATATAAATATGCAAATAGAGGCAATGCAGTCTTTGGCGTGTCTGTACCCACCTCTAACGGTCCTCGCAGAAGGTCTGATTGTTCACCTCCTACTTCCAGAGCCACATCTACAGAAGCAAAAGGACGGCTGGCCATCTGCTGCCTCTCCCTCATGAGTTGCTGTTCAAGGGGAAGCAAAAAAAAAGGAAAACTTAATTAATGAGGAAATAGACTAGAATGCCATTGTCACATAAAGTTCTGTCACTCAGCATGATTACTTATTATCATATGCTCTGAAAATCCTCTGTGAAAATCTTAAGTCCCCTGTCTGTATTAAATTTTAGAGCAGAGAGAAACAGTCATGGACAGATGAGTTCTAATTTCTGTGCAGTTTTGAGTCTTATTTAGGACTGGGAAAAGAAGACACTGGACATTTAAGGCACAGCAACTGATTTTGTTCATGGTTTATAGTAGAAAAAAGCCTTTTGCATGGTTTTTGATGTGCATGTTTTAAGCCAATAAAGATTCCAGACAAATATCTTCAAACCTTCTTGTCTCAAGGGTTTCTTTTTTCTCTCTCTCAATATTGTTGTAACTAAATAAGGTTCCCTAAGGTGAAACAGCCTCCATTTTATACTCCAGATCTAAAACATCTACTCTTTGATACACTATGTGCATTTCTGGTCAAAATCTGAAATATTATAAAAAGCAAAGGCTTTTATTGTATTTACTTTATAGCACCAACATGTTAGCTTCCTTCCCTTCACTCTAACAAAAGCTGATGTAATTATTATTGATAAGTTTTATAAGCCCCTGCATAAACAGAAAGGTACTATACAAACATGTACTGATGCTCTGAGCATTGGTGTAAGAACAGAGAGCGCCAATTATTAAAATATTTAAGATTATTTTTTCTTATTGCTATTTTCCACAGAAGCTTCACTGCTTAGTCCTATTTTAGCTGCTGTGTTTTATGACATCCATTCCACCTCCAGGTACTACAAGGACAACATGATATAGATCCACTGTGTATAAGCAGATCATAAAATGGTTAATTAATTTCTAACTGCGGTAAACAACTTCAGCATAGGCAGTGCAATGGCAGTTTACTATTGCGATTTGTCTACTGCATAAACTAGGCAATTCGCACTCCATAGGATCATCCACTTGACATTAGGCAACTTATCTCTGGTTCTTTAGAAGACTGCTGTCACTTTTACAATCCTCCATCTACAGGTGAGCAACTCTGTTTCAAGATGGAGAAATAAAATCTAATTGTTTCCATTAAATGGCAAGTTTCATCACACTTATCCAGGGTTTATAGGGCTTTTGTGGCACGAAAGAAGACAACAGCCTCTCTTTCCAACAGGTTCAGCACAGAGAGGGGTATCTAGCAAACAAATCAAGCAAAACGTTTTTTTTAAATCAAGTGACAGGCCTTAACTCTAAGGGCTCTAATCAGGACCCTCACAGAAACTCTAGCTAGAAAAGCTGTACAGCTGACATTAGTTATTTAAATTTTATTTTTAACCATTGCAAGCAAAACAGAAGAAAGAGCTGACAATCTGTCACTTGTATTTTATTTCAGGTCTGTCTAAAGCCAGCTATAAAAGGGATATAAGAGGGTGCTGAAATTAGAAGCATACATTCTTAATAGATGGTGTTGGGTGATCAGGAATATGCTTTGAAATTCCATTCTCTGTTACATTAACACTTTGCCACACATGGCTTCAAATGAGAATAGTGGTGCTAAAGTTGGATAACCCTGAAGCACAAAAAATAGCACATGTATGGTATACAGTACTATGACAGGGTTGTGTCACAGGCTATACTGTGCTGCATATACTATACTAGAGCTACAGTGCTGCTGAAAGCATAATGCTTTTGGTCAGACTTTAAAAATGATCAGGTTTAAAGGAATGCTTTAATAATCTATTCAAAGTAGATGTCTAAATTGGCAAAATAATTCCACAAGTACTGTATGTCTAAAACAGAAGGTAGGATATAAGAAATACAAAAGATTAGATTTTTGTATACAACATTAGGAAAGGCCAGCAGTACAAACTACTCTGGTTTTTCAAGTGCTTGAAAATCGTATGGAGAGAAACTTGAACTTTCTGATTCCAGAAAAAATAAAGACTTCCAGTATTTTTGCACTAAGCTACTGTATATGCCATCCATGAGATCTGTATTCAAGTCGAAATGTCTACATTCCAGTATCTTCTGGTGGATACCAGATGATACATTTGTGGGGGGGGTTAAATTGTGAATTATTCAACTGATGAAACTTAAACCAAGCTTTGCAACAGAATGCAGGTTAAAAGTGAGAGGAGACAATCTTTACTTGTATCTTATTGATCAGATGTTTTAATATAGCCATTTCTCTCTAATTTATCATAACCAAGAAATAAGACAATTAACTGATACAGTAAATGGTGTGTCCAGCAAGGTCAATGCTGGAATGATTTTATAAGTAAATGTTTTATGGATTGTAATTGAGTGTTTGTTGTTCATATTGTATGTTGAAGTCATCTACAATCGCTGAAGCAGTGTTTTTGCTCACCTCAGTACTTGACAGTAGTGTGGACACTCACAATGAAAAGGAGCCAAACGTGTGTAGCCTTTTGTGTTATTTACCTAACCTTACTCAAGACTTGCATTTGTAGATTTCTCCTTAAAAGATTTCCATAAAAAGATTTCTCCTTTTGATATTAGGGGGAGTACCTAAAACGGATTGCCTCTCGTCTCCCATATTCTCAAAATTAAACCAAGAGCTGCTGCTTTCTGGTCAGGGAAAAAGTTTCTTCCAAACTTCAGAATCATAAAAGCCAACAGGAATCCCACACTGACTCACATGTCTGCCTGTTATTTATGTTTAAAAGCCCTTGTGAATACAAAACTCAGTTTGCTCTTGTTTCTCCCCACTAAAGAATTAATTTACTGAAGAAGAATTTTAGAGTGTGTGTGTCTGGAATCAATATTAAGCTGGAGATTTGATTATGCTCCATACTGTGCAATGTACTGCCTAAATGTTTTAGCAGGATCTAATCCGGCTAATTTTTCCCCTTAATGTGCTAGCAGCTAATCTTGAAACAGTAAAGTATGTTTCTGACAAATGCATGTTTAAAGCTTTCCAGAGAGCTTTGAAAGACTCCCCCTTAGGTACAGCAGGCTTGTAGCCTGGCTCCTCTCTTTGGCTGAGGAAATCCTCTGAGCCAAACAGGATTACTGCTTTATGAGCCATGCGGGGCTTAATATTGATGGCCAAAGCAAATTGCATGCTGAGTTGAAACGGTGTGAATGCAGACAGGGAGATCATTAATTTTTTTAATAATGAGAGATTAAGATACAAAAATTGGAGAATCTAACTCTCAACATTCAGCCACATGAAAAGACTTGAATGTGTATTCCTTCATTTCTGTTCCCAAAAAATGGGATTTAGGATTGACATATTAAAAGAAATCTAATAGTTTAATTAAAACATTAATGATTTAGAAGAAACATGACATACTGTACAGCACAAAATCTCTTATACACTCCAGTATCAACTTTAGAGAGGGGGCATTAATATTTAACTATCAATACATCTATTTTCACGTATCATTTCTACTTAATTGTGCGGTGTTTTCAGATGTTCTTGCTTTAAATAATTCCTGTTGTTAAAACATTCCACATGCTCTGTGCATGACATTTGTGAATCCTTCACTCCTTTAAACCTTTGGCCAGTGTGAAGTTCTAGATCTTAGCAGGGTAATGGCAGACAAAAAAAATCTGAACTAGAAAAAACAGAACAGGAGATTCAAAATAAAATAAAAACATTTGCGACATTTTAACAGTCAATCGTCTCTGCCTGGTTCCACTACAATCACTTCCTTCATTTGCAGCTTTCCAGGGAAATAATACGAGGGTGTAGATTTAACTGAAGGAGAAATGAATGACACATTTAATAAATTGCTGCATATCAGGAGAAGAATAATAATAAAAATATCACAATGAAAGCCTTCAAAGGTGTCTACATTAACAATATAAATCTGGATGATGCCACTCTACACAGTTCCAAAAATGATACTGTAAATGCAATCATTATCCAATGAAAGTATGTCCTAGATAATACTATATTAGGTAATCCTAATCAAAAGACAAAATACGATTTAAGATGCATAAGACCATTTTTTTTTGTAAAAACCAAAAGTAAATAGATGATTTTGTTCCATCTTGATACATACAGTATAAAAGATCTCCTGCAGCAATTGTAATGTGACAAGTTGTGAGCAGCTGATGAATTGTGTCCAATTGCATTTTTCGCCTTTTTTTAATTAGATTGCATATTTAGTTTACACTGCCAGGGGTAAATCAATATCTTAATATGCTATGCCAAAGCTAATGTAGATTCCAGTTCAATTTATAATCTTCCTAAATGGACACACTTAGCTTTAATTGTTTTACAAAAGAGACGATAAAGTTTTTATTATTTCTCTAGGTGGAGCTAATTCAATATGGATGTGGTGTCAACAAAAACTTGTTTTTTACTCTGCAGGCCACAAGTAACAAATATTCAGAGAAAAGAACAGAAAATCCAAATGTTTTGCACCCATAGGTTTTATGCAAATCCAAGTTCAATATAATACAGAATATATATAATAAAAATCTTTCTGACTATGCATTTCATACAGGCATTTTTTCCAGCTTGTTACTCCTCGGGAAAAAAAAACAGTTTAGTAAAAAACACTTGCAGCTGTCAAACTTAAACAAAATGGTTCTGTGGCCTTAATGAACTGAAACAGCTACAGTACTGCCTCTACTAACGAAAGCAAGTGGGGTCCTATTTAAATGCTGAGATGAGTCTCCAGTGGTTTGGATTCAATACTGATGAGGAGTCTAAAAAGGCTAATTTGAAAGGGGGGAAAAGAACATAACGAGCTGTATTTAATGAAGGTAACAAGCAGCAGGGATCGTCCTTTATCAGTGAAACATTTCATAAATGAACATCCCAGGTTATGTCTACGAATATCACCCTGTAGGAATACAGCGGGTAACAAAAACAAAAGTACAATTTAATGTCTGGTGTTCAACTGCGCCCTGCTGCTTGATAACAATCCAAGTATAACGTGTTCTCCAGATTTATAGCAACCCTTTCTTCAGAGTGTGAATATATATTGCATTATACTTCCACACATACA